TCTTTTGGGGTCTATCTCTAGATCTCCAAGCCATATTAACTATAATATTATCACTTTTCCTAATCGGTGCACTAAAAGATCTTCATTTTACGTGATCAAATCATGTTAATCTATTCTCTCTTATTTTATTCTCAATAAAAGCAACCTCTAATTTACTACGGATTAAGATTTTACAAATCGTATCGGGGATTTATTAGACCGGTCAAAATCCATATCAGATAGTAAATATTTGGGATATATTGGGGATAAGTAGTATTTATCGGAATGACATTACTGGATGGTGAAATACATAATATAATATTCTAAAACGTAATCTAACCATACTTAATGAAACATAAACATACGAAAATGTAAACTATATTTAGGATCATTAACCAATGGTAGAGACTCGGATTGGGTCGAGTTTAAAGTGCATTGAATAGATGTCTATTGTCCGAAATCAAAATTTAAACCAAATGCTGATAATTCCGATTTTTTGGCCCACAATATCGATCGATAACTCACTTTATCGCCGCATTATTGGTGATAAACATCCAGAAACGATAACCGATTTAGTATCGAACTTATCATAGCGGAAGGGCCCCAAAATTGATAAATTGCTGATGATATCGGTTTATCGGTCGATATTTAAAACATTGTTATGGATGCACTCATTTCTTATCCTATCTTTTACTATATAATTACAAGATCATCTCAACATTCTCATTTTTCTATACTCATTTTTTGCACATATTGTTTTTTAATTGTCCAACACTCGTACTCATAAAACATAGTTAGTCTTATAACCATCTTATAGAATTTTTTCGTTTAGTTTCATTGGTATTTTACGGTCACATAAGACTCCTGAGGCATTCCTCCATTGCAACCATCCTGATTTGATTTAATGTGCAATATCATCCTCTAACTCACCATCATGCCATATAATTGATCCTATCCTAAATAGTAAAAATGATTACTTTTAGGTATTTTCAGACCATCAATATGCTCTTTTGTTTTTAGTCTTACTAAAACTGCAATCCATATATTCTATTTTTGTTCTACTAATTCTTAAATCTTTAGATTCAAAAGCTTATTTCCATCTTTCTACTTTAGAAATTATACCTCTTCTGATTTTGTCAACTAACACTATGTTATCTGTAAATAACATACGCCATGAGATTTTATCCTGAATGTGCTTAGTAAGTTAGTCCATAACTAATGCAAAAAAGTAAGAGCTTAAGGCTGACCCTTAGTGTAAACCTATGATACTAGGAAACAACTTAGTCTCTTATTCAATAGTTCGTACTCTAGCTGTTATTCTATTATACATATCTTAATCATATCAATTTATAAACTAGATACATGTTTCTTTTTTAAAACCCACCACATTACCTCTCTAGACACTCTATCATAAGTTTTTTCTAGATCAATAAAAATCATATGTAGATTTTTTCACTTCTCTCTATATCTCTCCATTAATCATCTCAAAATATGTATAGATTCCATAGTTGACCTCCTGAGCATAAAACATATTGATTTTTAGATATACTTGTCTCATTTTTTAGTCTTTACTCAATTACCCTCTCCTAAAGTTTCATAGTATGACTCATGAGTTTTATGCCACGATAATTTGAATAACTTTGTATATCTCCTTTATTCTTATGTATCGGTATCAAAATACTAATCCTCCACTCATCAGGCATTTTTTTCGTCTCGATAATCTTATTAAATAATTTAGTTAACCATGCTAAGCCTTCTCTAAGATATCTCCAAACTTTAATAGGGATACCGTTCGGTCCTACGGCTCTTTTATTTTTTTATTTTCTTTAGAGCATCATTAACTTTGCTAATCCTAATTTTTCGACAATATATATAGTTCGTATCATTCACGGTACGGTTAAATTCTCTATTTTGCTCACTTGTTTGGTTATCATTAAACAATTGATGAAAGTGACTCATTTGTCTCTCTTTTATTTTCTCACCGGTCATTAGAACTTTTTGATCTTCACTTTTAATATACCTAATATTATTCAAGTTCCTACTCTTCCTTTCTATAATCTTAGCAAGCTTATACACATCTTTCTCTCCCTCCATAGATTCTAACTTCTTATTGACATTTTCATAAGCCTTGTATTTATTCTCACTAACCGCTCTTTTTTTCTTCCTTTTTAGCTTATATTTTTCCAAGTTTTTTCTACTCCTACACTTTTACCACTCTTCATATAAAGTTTTCTTCTCTCTAGTAATATTTTGCACACTCTCATTTTACTTACTACCAACTCTCCTTATCGTCTGATCTACATCTTTTAGATTCTCCTAATATATCTTTAGCAACATTCCTAATGCAAGAAACCATGCTATTTCATATGATATTAGTCTCATTATTTATATTCTGTGTATCTTCTTTCATTATCTTATCCTTAAAATGCATTAAATTTTCTTATTTTAAATTCCACTATTTAGTCCTTAGTTTCTTGTTCATGATAGTTTTTCTACTCCATTTCTTAATAGATATGTCTAATATCATCAACCTATGTTGTGTAGTTAAACTCTCTTTCGGTATAATTTTACAATCTTTATACGTTAACCTATCCGCCCTTTAGGAAGAAAAAAGTCTATTTGACTACTATTAAATCAACTTTTAAAAGATATTAACTGTTCATCCCTTTTTCTAAAAACTAAAAATGTATTTGTTATTAGCAAATCATATGATGTTACAAACTCTAAAATCGATTCTCCCATATCGTTCTTATCTCCATATCCGAAACCTCCATGTATCCTCTCATACGCGTTATTATTCTTACCAACATACCCATTAAGATTCCCTCCTATTAAAAATTTCTTTCCTAATAGGATTTCTTGCAACAATTCATCTAAGTTATCCTAAAATTCTCTTTTAATACTCTCAGTCAAGCATACTTGTGGTGCGTAAGCACTGATAATATTAATAACCTCTATCCCTCATAAAATTTTTGTTAGTATTATTCTATCTCCAACTCTTTTTACATCTACAACTAGGGGTGTTATCGGAGCGGATACGGTTCGGATATGACACTTACCATATCCATATCCGCTTCTTATAAACGGATACGGATACGGATACGGATCACTCTCGGTAAGAAAAAATACTAACCATATCCGCACTTATCGGAAACGGATACGGATCGGATATTTGAGAATCGGATCGGATATGATCACGGATATAAACGGATATTCACGTATAATTAGAATTACAACCAATCTATTAGAAAAAGATGGAATTTGCTATAGCATGAAACAACCACAACCTAAAATATAACCATCTATATAGAACGCAAACAACAACAACAACATACATGCATAACAAACATATATAAGGTGCTAAATACACCAACATACATGTAGACTTCTGATTACCTTTATTTATTATTGCCTGCTGCTGCTGTTGTTTGTTTCCTCATCTAAAAAGTTGGTTAAAGGATTTGCTTCCTATGTCTTTTGTGTGTGTGTGTGTGTGGGGGGCCGGGGTCAGAAGGGAAAGATACCTGCCTCAAGCATTCAATGAGTTAATAGATTTGCTAGTGAGCCCTACTCCATCTATTGATAACATCTCCGGCCCAAATCCAATCCTTCTCCGCGAGATAACATCGTTTAAGATACTTTATACGAAATAGAATTATAATAAACAAACTAACAAGAGAGTTAGAAATTTGTTAGAATTATCAATTATGAGAGCACCTGAAACGTTGGCGAGTTTTGGCGGGATGGGGAGGAGAGACATGGCTTTGGGGGAGCGGAGACGCCGGAATCCTAGAGGGAAAGTGGCGGAACGGAGGCGAAGCGCGCCGCCATTGCAGGGTTAGGAGGGAGCTGAATCAGAGAGAGAGAGGGTGACGAGATAGGACTGGAGAGTGGAGGGAGGCGGCCTGATGAGAGAGGGTGAGGGCCTAGGGTTTTCTTGTTTTAAGTTTTGGTTTTGGGTTAGCGGGTTTGTAACTATGAATTTGAGACCCGATTACCCGAATCACTATTACATTGTGGATATCCGTATCCGTAACCTTCATATCCGTTACCGAATCCGTATCCGAAAAAAAATCCGAAACCATATCCGTATCCTTATCCGTATCCGCCCGGTTTCAAAATTAGCCTACCATATCCGTATCCGTTCGGATACGGATGCGGATCGGTTCGGATATATCCGAACCGTTTGGCACCCCTATCTACAACACTTTCTTTTATTATGTTACTTACAAGAACTCCCACTCCGTTCCTATTTTTCTTTCTTCCCATGTACTAAAGTTTATATCTGGTCTTTTCAATTTCTCTAGATTTTTCACCTATTCATTTAGTTTCTTACAAACAAATTATACTCATTTTTCTCTTCTAAGCATGACATCTACTAGTCTCATTGTCTTTTCGGTAAGTGTACCTATATTCCAAGTAGCTAACCTAATTTTATTCTCTTGTAAAGCTCTCTTACTATTTCCCTTTTATACTGTTCTAGTCTACGTCTAATACTATTTGACAACCTATTAGAGGATTATAGATTCTTAGAACACATTTGTTTACTTGTCATTACATTAGGGTGACATCGATGTAATACGTCGCTTCTAGGAGACGCCCTAGCAAGCCACCCTTGCTTATTTATCATTGCATCGGGTTGGCATTGATGCAACGCGTCGCGATGGGGACGCCCCAATGAGTATTTTATAGGATTTATTTTTCATGTGGATCTGACTATGTTTTACACTGGCTGATGGCTACCTAATGTAACCCTCCTCCTTTATCTTGGTTTGGGATAGGCAGTGCTGGCAATAAAATAAAGCGCGACACTAGCGGAGTTATCTCTGGGAGTTGGCGAATGTTGGAATTTAACCTATATATTGTCTTCTTTTATAGCACTAACCTCCTTGAGTTTTTTGTCATAGTCTTCTCCTCTATTTTTTTTTAATTTGTGATGTCTGTTAGTGAGTTCTTGTATACTCTGAGAATTGTATACTTTGTTATATGTTCTCACTTTCCTTATTTTGCTGCTATTGTAGGATACCTCCACTCTGCGAAGTAGTCTCTTGCAACATGACAATTTAGTTAGATACTGTGAACATCTTAAGGCGGAGTATCTAGAATCCAGTTCATCGTCCTCGTCTATGCCACCATCTTCCTTTAGTCCATCAACATCTTCAACACCAAGACGAAAACCCTCTTCATCATGGAGTAAGAGAACTTATTATGCAGTACATAATTGTTGAGCAAATAAATAGATTTTATTTATGTTTTATTATTTTTATGCAGCTATGACTTGACCTGGTTATGACACCATTTTGGCGAGTCTTTTACCTGATTTATTTATAATTGTATGTTAACTTATAGTTTGTAATTTTGTTGCAAAATTGACTGCCTAATATGCTGAGAATCTTGCCCTTGGAGGAATTGACATCAAAAGTTTAGGATTAATTGCAGATATACCCTCTGTATTATGATGGTACAGCCATGTATACCCCGTAAACTGTTCTATTAGTACACTCTCAGTATCAGACATGTTACCTTTCCCTCAATTTAGAGGGCAATTTAATGTCTTTTTCAGTTAATTGAGTGCAAAAGGTACTTTATGTTAGCTTGATCTATGTGACATCTCAACCTAACTTGTAAAACAATGTTATTTGAGGTTCAAGGGGTGTAAATGTTAATCAAAAGTTTAAGGGCTACATCACCATAACACAGGGATGTATCTACAATTAACCCGGAAATTCTTATGTTGCTTAACTTGATACGATAGTATTGGGGGATGTGTCACCTTCTGTAGCTTGAAGTGGTTTTCGTTTACCTTAACAGGTTCCAAGCCCAAACCAAAGGCTAAAAGAGAAAAGACCGAGGAGGAGAAGAAATTTCGGAGAAGAGCCAAGTACTTTCTTGGCGCTCAATTTGTTGCAGTTCTAGTATTCTTATCAGTTTTTGCAGGAGTTGATAATGCTGAAGATGGCGTTGAAGATGGTTTTGATTATGATGAATGAGAGAGGCAGAGCTTACCTATATTTATTCTCTCCTTGTTTCTTTTTCAAAATTTGCGGAAGTTGGGAATTCTTGTCTCATTCTGAGGGTGTGTCCTTATCAAATTTTGATTATAGAATTTTCCTGGATAATCATTTCTCAGTTGTTTTAATCTGAAAACTCTGTATCATTTGTACTTTACATGATAATTTTGATGTGATTCACAAGCGATTTGCATAATTGGTTTAATTTTCACACGTATCATTCAATTCATCTGGTTTCATGTGAGTTTACATCAGGAGTGTACTTATATATTATTCTCCACAAAGTGCACGTCATGTTTTGATTTTGGAAACATTAAATTTTTGATAGCAAATTTTTTTTTTGTCATTATCCTAGGAGTGTACTTTAAAGGAATTTCTTAGCTCTTCTCTTGGCCTACATTATTTTGGCAGATTGAGATTTTTCTGTAGCATATTATGATATGTGATATTGATAACGTGCCGTGCGTATGCTTTTATCTGAACTGGAATTTCTTAGCTCTTCTCTTGGCCTACATTATCTTGGCCTACATTATTTTGGCAGAGCTTACCTATATTTTATCTGTTGTATCCGGCTGGACCTTGTTGTTCTCTTGTCGTCTTCAAATTTTTGCTATTACATCAAAAACTTGAGACTCATCCAAGATTATTTTTTTTTATTACGGGCTGTGATCTTCATATCTCTGTATGATTTTCTCTCTGTATGATTTTCTATTGAGGGCCCTCTCTGTGATTTTTCTTTTTTCCTGAAATATGCTCCAGCGTACGAAATGTCACTAGCATTCAAATTTAATCCAAAGTGAAAACAGCCCATACCAAAATGGGAACGAACATATGCCTCACCGTGCCAACAGACATGTATTAGAATCGGCGCATTGAAACTTCAAGAATAAGAAAAAAACACACTAAAGTAAAACTTGCTACAACTTCTCATGATATCTTAAACGTATGTAAATCGTTCAAGCCCACAATTATGCGTCATTCTCCTACTCAGTTTCGAGTACAACCACAAAAATATAGCTAACATATCATAAGTTCTCACGAGTTCAGACATGTTTCCTTATACAAAAATCTTACAAAAACCACTTCAATCTCCATGCAAATCTACAAAATTTAGTATACATGCATTCTTCAGAAGGAAGCTGAGCTTGATCTTCGCAGCTGATGCTTTGGTTCTGGTGGCGGCGTAGAATCTAATATCGTGTCCAACTCCTGGAAAAAAAAACGAGTTACTTTGTATTTTTTGCCAAAGGAAATCAAGTTCAAGCTTTTCCTGGAACAATATACTATTTATTTCTACTGCTTATAACCATTCATGTTCCAAAAATCAGGAAAGGGAAAAGAAAACATTTTCAATAGCCATATATTTACACACAGGTCCTAGTAAATAACAGAATATCAAAATCTTATTTTACTTTTGGCAAATGAACCAACAAAATATCGTGTGCCTTGCATGTGCAAAAAATATAGTAATTATGAATGCTGACATTCAACAAAGAACTCAACTATCTTACTTGTCCATATTGTAACATCATGACACAATTCTAGTTATATACTAACATGGAGCAAGAGACAAATTGAACTTGGAAATACATGAACAATGATCTCATACATTGAAAAGAAATTGGAACATAATATGTCATTATTTTAATTTATAGGATAACATGTTCTCTTTGATTTAAGGACTAACCGCCTTGAGTTAAAGATCCAAGTTATCTTATTTGTGCTAATCTAGTTATGATTGCATTTGTCTTGCTTGCATATGTTCATATATATATCTTGAATATGAATGTATTTTGTTTAGGCTATGAATCCAATGTTGCTCCTAAATTCATTAATTTTCCCTATGAACAATGGGCTTCTAGATTTAAACTATTTGTTGAATCTAGAAATATTGACTTATGGAAAATTATTGATTGTGTTTATATTGTGCCCACATTAGAGAAATCTAAGTGGAGCAATCAAGATAATAAAATGTTTAATATGAACAAGCTTTTGTTAGAATATTTGCTTAATGCTTTTGACTCATCATTTTCTAACAAAATTTATACATAATTGCATCCACATTGTTATTGACATATAACGATCTGGTGCCAATCCTACTTAAGTTTGACCTTTCAGGCCTCCAAATTCAACATAAAATTTTTCTAGTCTAAAAACTTTTTAAAGAGAATAAATAACGGTGAGATACTCAGAGAAAGGGAAGTGGAAGGTATAACCATCAGGGTTTTTAAAGATGTTTGTTTAGGTTTTCAACTATCTTATATTTAGCCTTCTATTAGTTGACTTCAGTTCAAGCCACCATCCTCTCGCAAGTAAGCATTACTTTTTATATTTACAAATATGAATGCATAATCTATCATATGTCTCATATTACAGTCTATCTTTATTTATCCTCTAATTTGTTGTATATGAATACTTCGATAGATCCAGTAGGTAGGTACCTTCTGTCTTCTCTCAAATCCGTTAACACTTGTAGTTATGTTCAATGTTTTAAAAAGCTCAAGCCTACGCCTAAGTGGTATCTAAGCCGCCTAGGCTCCACCCGTCTAGGTCTTGAGAGTGCCAAGGGAGTGGAGACCGCTTACGCGGATTGCACCGCTAGGTCATGACCGTGATTTCCTCTATCGTCGCTTCCATGTCCTCTAACCTCCTCTGGACTCCTCCAGTTTACTCCACCGATTACAAACACCTCCGCAACTCCTACGATCTTCAACAAAACCCCCTCCTCCACCACTTAAACAAAAAGGAAATCCTCCTACGCCTAGCGCATAGGCGCTATGTACCAGTTTGACACCTGACAGTGCCTAGCACTTTCGATAGGTTGTAATTGAAATTTGAGCTAACACAACGTAAATCACGAATGACTAATACTAAGAAACGAACCATATGCAACACAAACCATGGACTTCTTAAAATTTGAATTTGATGCTTATTACATAGAATCAAAATAATTATACTAAGAAACCATGGTTTGCAAAAGCAAAGGATTACCTTTTGCTTCCTCAACCTCTCGTTCTCTTCTTCAAGTCGTGAGACCTTGTTCTCCAGTTCATTGGTGTATGCCTATCCATTACAAAAACAAGCTTCTCTTAAACACAACACATTCGTAAGATGAGAAAAAGTAATCATTCTGATATCATACAACAAATTTAGTAGAAAGAACCGAATCCATGGTTTTCTAATGGACGATTTAATATTCCACCAGAAACAATCCACAACTCAGCCAAACTTGCAGAATTTTGTTTAGTGCATCTTGGTCAGTAATTATTAAATGTAACTTTCTGATATTCTTTCAGTATCAGGCTATAGGCTCACCTGCTTCCTAGCTCGTGAACGAGCAGCAGACTCTCGGTTCTTGATCATCCTCTTCTGCTTCCTCTCCACCGTCTTCTCCTCACTGCCCTCTCTAACACCTCGCTTCCTGGTCGAAGCTTGCGGGTCCGACATCACCCCCAACTGCTTCTCAAGGTTCACTGCTTCGAAAACCGTGCTGGACCCAACGACTCCCATTGGATTGGCCA